CATGATAGTCCATGGAAGAGGTATGGTTTGGATCAGACAGTAGATAAATATCAGAATATACCACAAAGATACCTCATATGGTCTTGCAGAACACCCGATCTCAACAGTGGGCATATATATAGGGTCAGGGCAGATGGTGTGAGTAACTTCCGTTGTCCTGGCTTGATGTATAATTTCAGTAATTAAGTGTACCCCAGGTAGCAATCCCAGCCATGTGGTAGAAGCCTTTGTATTAAAGCTGGAGAAAAATGAAGAATGTACTCACCTGACTAAGGACAATGAGAAGACATAGTCCACATGCCAGCCCAAAGGTTCTCATCAAGCAGCCATCAAAAATGTGGGGCAAGGGAATAGATGAGGTGACAGACTTGATGGGAATAAATATGGAAAAGTCTGTGAAAATTGACCCCAATGAAGAGTTGCCCAAACAGAGCAGTTGGCAGACCCAGCCTGTAAGGGTAGATGGAGACAAGTCCCTGGAAAATGAAGAATCCCAGAGAATATAGAGGCAAAGATGAGAGCCACAAAATGTGGAGGTACAGGCAAGGTAGCACCAAACAGCATGAACAGGGCACAACAGATGTTCTGGGTCGGACCAATCATAGAGGTGAGAAACAGAGAGAAGGAGCGATCATTTTCTTAACCTTCACAAGTCTTAGGGAGGAAAGACCGGTCAGAATAAAGGAGAAGATATGAATGATGGAAGAGGGTAGAGGAAGAATCAACAGCATAGATGTCTGAATGATGGTTCACACAGGGAAGGGGTATGAGAAAATAGGTCTTAAATGAAAGGTGGTATAAGAAGCAGGTGGCCATCAGTTTGAATGAGTCCTGGATAAGAGTGTGCAGAATGACACTGAGGTCCCAATCAGGCATGGGAACAGTGCAGGAAGGTCGATGGAGAAGGAAGGATCAGAATAAGATGGAGAGGACTGGGGAAAAAGCCACCTTGTGGTATCAGGAAAGGTGAAAGTTGGTAGACAAAGCGGCCTGATAACAAATAACAATGGAGACAGCCAACCCTTTGTCACTCAGCCAAGTAAAAATGGAAAAGAGATGGCCAACAGTGGGACAGTCAGGAGGAAGGTAGTGACAGATGAAACAACACCGAAAACCTGCCATTTTTATTTGTAGATGGACAGAATAGACAGACAACAAGAATGGAAAAGGAAGAAGGCTACCTTATGGGAAAGATTGGCCTGACAGGTGATGGACCGGACAAATCCCAAACATGAACGTAGAGGGATGTGATCTCTGGATGAAATAGTGACATGGGAGGTTGAAGCAAAGAAGGTAGGGGAAGAGAGGGATGGGTTGACAGAAGACAAAGAAGAAGGAATCAGGGTTGAGCCATCAAGAGGATACCACAATGAGTATTGTAAATCATTGCCAGGACCCATGATAGGATGAAGAATGGGAAATAGGAGACCAAAAGAAAGGGAGCTTGGAATTGAGAGATGTGGTGAAGGCAGAAATGAGTGGAGTCCCCTGGAGAGAGCACACCCATCAGAAAACCTAAAGGTGAAAAGATCACTCAGTGGGCTGAGTACGGTCCAGCCAAGAGTGTCACTCTACAATTAGGTTCATAGAGCCCAAAACATGACATGCAATGATGTGAAACCCCTGAGAATTGGCCTAATAAAGAAAATTGAGGGTTTGAAAACAAAGGTTCCTGGATCTGGTACCTCCTTGAAGGTTTATGTAGGAAACAACAGTGGAGTTGTCAGATTGAGCCATAACCAAATGATCCACTAGGAGGGTAGGAAATGGGAACATGCCTGATGCACTGCCAAAAGTTTGAGCACAATGATGTGAAGTGAAGACTCGTTCTGGTTCCAAGTGCCCGACATAAGCTTGTTCTTAAGAGATGCCCCCCATTTTGAGAGGGAAGCATTGGTGAAGAGGTGTAAGTTTGGTTTGGGTGGAGGTAGAGGTACACTGACAGTATTATTGGAGTAGTCCAGCAACCAAGAGATGTTTGTGAGGAGAGGATGGGAAAGGAGAACAACCGAGTCCAAAGGTTCCCATGAATGGTTCCATTGGTTGTGCAAGGATCATTGAAGGAGGCACATGTGAACACAGCCCAATGGAATAAGCAGTTCCAGGGAAGCTATGGTTCTCAAAGCAATAGAATCTCTCGAGCAGTATGAGTAGAAGAGGCATCCTGGTGACAGAATTCTACAGCACTTGCAGACATAGAGGAGAAGGTTGAACCCGACTGAGAAAAGAGTGGAAAAGTTCTCCCAGGTGATTCAAGTTTTGGGTGGAGGTAAGAAAGGATTTAGAAGTTTTGACAAGCCACCCTAAACAGTCAGCTTCCTGCAGAGGAAGAGAGGTATGAAGATAAGACTCCTTCTGCAAATGGGACAGAAGAAGTCAATCATCCATGTAGTAATGGAATCATAGACCAACTTCATGGAAGGGCACATGAAGGCCCTGATAACTCTGCTAGACATAGGAGGCTGATGCAATGCCAAATAGAAAAGCCCTGACCTAGAAGGTATGATCCCAATGAACAAACTGAAAAACATCTTGAAGATCCTGCGATAGGGATAAGAAGGTACGCATTCAAGACATTGATCTTGATCTCATCCACAGTCTGAGTGAAAGAAAAGGACCAGCAGAGGGAAAAGAAATTTTCCATATGAAAATGAGGGACAGCCATGTAGTGTTTGAGAGAGGAAAGGTCGATGACTGGCTGCCAATTTCCAGTCGACTTGGGAAGCACAAACAGGCAGGGTAAAACCCTAGTGAAGGGTCATGTACCTGCTCTATAGCCTATTTGTGCAAGAGATCCTAAACTGCATCTTCCAGACATTAAACATAGATGGGATCCATGGGAGGATGGAAGTAAATGAGGTGTGGTCTGAGAGATGGAGGGAGAGGACAAATGAAACCCATCTGTTTGCAGATAGGTGTTCCCAAAGATGTGCATACCATAGTAGACAAGTGGCTGTAAGATCTGAATCCACACCGTAGTTACCAACAAGCCTGGGAAGACTAACATTAGGCTGAAGACTTTGAGTAGAAGGAAAAGGGAAAGAAATATGGGAAGCAGGAGAACTAGAACAAGACAAAGAAATGGAATATGGGGTGTGTGAGACAGGTGAGTAACCATGGAAGTTAGCAAAGATCGATGTCGGTCAGCTTCCACACATGATTCAATTGAATGATGAATACCACAAAATACAGAAAGGTGAATAAATAGTGCAAGGCAGAGTTCTCATAAAAAGGAGAAGGGAGATGGATATGGAACAGAAGGGTATCCCTACCCAACAAGTTCCAACAACAAAGCAGGGAAAGGGCAGCAGTAGTAGTACGAGCCATGGTGGAAAGGAGAAGGAAATAGGAATTGCCAGCAAAGTCACCTGAGGCTCGATGAAGTGCCTCTGTCATGAGGTGCAGGGACGAAAGGTAACAAAGCATGTAAAGGAGGATTAAGTGAAAAGGGGAGAATTGAGCACTGGAGAGTGAGACTGACCCCAGTGAGTCTGCTCCACAAAGAGACAAAAGAGACTCAAAGGTTTGTGGCTCCAGAAAATGGAAGTTCAAATGACTATAGGCCATGATAAAGGAATCTGAAAGGGGAGGAGGATGAGGCATAAGATTGCAGGTACAGAATTGATCTAAAAAGGAAGTAGCAAGAATACTAATGTAAAGAGAAGGAGGAAAAATTAAATTCATGAGAGTGAGGGTTGTGAAAGACTGAACAGGAAATGTCGTAAGACACAGAATGAGAGATAAGACAGAACATACTTGAGAGGTTCCTAAAGCATAACCAGGAGGAGGAAATAAACAGTCAAAGTCGTCTTCCTCATCATATTCCCTCTCAAAACGAGAGGAAGGAATGGCAAATGAATGGACAGATGCCAAAACTCCCGGCTGCATAAAGGAACCGACTACCCTATGCACAATGGCTGTCAAGTCATCCACATTTAATGTGCATCCAGTAGCCGAGTTTGAAATTTAACTAGTGTAAGAATATTCCTTTCATTCATTCTAGATGTTGAAGTAAAATGAACTTGAGAGTTCACAAGTGGAATAAATAAAGGAAACAATGTATCTTTATTAGATGGCAAGTCTGTAAGTTACAAACAAAAACAAACACGTCTTAGTTGTGCAGTGCTGAGGAAAAAGAATGACTATCATGAGTGCAAAAGCATAGAGGGAGCTAGTGCACAAGGAAGTTGTGTCACCCTCTTACTGGTGGAGGGCTTTTGCTGCATAATAACATCAATATGCAGTAGTAAAAATCACGATAAATCTTATGAGTTTAGGATAGTGGCATGCAAATCTCTAAAGAAGACGCATGAGAAAGAGAGCCTTCTGTGTGAAGACACCTCAGAATTAGTTATTAAGGGCACACTTAATCTTTATGATCACAACACTAACTATTCTCTAAGATGAATGAAATCTGACTATACTCTGGTTAAAGTCTACTAACTCTCTTCTCAAATGATTTCCTTTCCAATTGGTTATAACAACTAAACCATTATATATATTTTTTTAAACTTATTAATTGTTAACGATTTACTTCAATAATAATTTTGTTTTTTTTATTAGCTAGAGCTTTTTTGTACAAAAATTTGATTGTTAGGAATGTAAGTCACTTGCTTACACAGTAGATCTCACTGAATAATGCTACACACTGAAAAAGGTTATTATACTTTTCATTAACTCATGCATTACTTCTAAAAAATGGTGCAATAATATCAGTATATTTTATTATCATTTAACAAATCTCTCAGAACATTAGCTAAAACTGATTCTTTTATGGAAAGTGAATACTGACATTCTACAATGGAGTGCTCATATATTTCACATAAAATGCAAGAAAGTTTAAACAAAATTCTCCTCATTCTAGCCATTTCAATTAAGCAGAAGCATAAAGTTATGGCATGAGATACTAAACAAATATTATCTCTACTGTAAAATACTTACTTTTCTGTCTACTAGGTAAACAAAACTCATAATAAAACTTTGTTGAAAAAGCAACTTACAGGGTATACATGATCACACCACAGGCCCATCTGTCAAAAGGAATTAAAACAATAATGCAAGTTATTTAACATTTTCACATTGACAGTATAATCAAGCTTTTATTACAAAAGTTAGAACAACATAAATTATTGAAAACAATTATGGAAACATAACATGTGACACAGATACAGGAGTTCCAAACAATGAGAAATTGCAACAGAGTTGTCAATTTATCATTAATGCAATACATTACCATGGCAAATACAAAAAGAAAACAAACATGTTGTACAATGCACTAGTATTTTGTATGTGTTTTAAACAGACCAGCACACCTTGCATTCATGGTACCATAAGTGTATCACAGTGTGATAGTGAAATATTGTTACAAGTGTCCTGTATTACTCTCCACATATTTCAGCTAAGGTATAAGCCCATACAGAGCTTTAACAATATTCATATTAGGAAACTGTGCAGGCCAGGCCATGGTTGTGAGTGTTCCATCATACTTTTTCTTTCATATATTATTTCATTACATTTCTTATATAATTGAGGTCACTGTCTTGCTAAAAGATTAATCCCTGTTCAACAGGTCTTTTTTCTGAAGGCATGACATAATGGATAAGAAAACGGTCATATCTGTCAGCAGTTAAGGTGTCATCATTTTGTGTATATTTCCAAAATAATTGACTGAGATGTAATCCATACTTGTATTGGTCCTCTAACATGCTTCACTGTAGATGTTGTTCATTGACCATGATAATATTTTTTCTCTTTGCCACAGAAAAAACTATGGCTGATTATTGCAAAAGAATTTCCATTTATGTATAAAGAGCACCTTCCTTTAGCTTCACTCAACCCATTGTTTAAATTATGGTGCCCATTCTAATCTCCTGGTTTGGTTTTCTCTCCTAAGCAGATGTATTTGAGCAGCTCCACATTCACTGAGACTTCTTTGTGCTAATATGTATCTTACTGTTCTGCAAATATCATTTACACCTACACTTAGAGCCATATCATTAGTAAAATCTCTACTGAATTATGATATATCACATATGATTTTCTTGTTCTGATAATGAAACTGTTATATTATTTTTAAAGCTACACAAATATTTTTATAGAACATGAATTCAGGTGAAATATTTTGGTTTAGCAATAAACATACAAAATGAGAAATCTAATACAAGATGGAATAATTTTATAATTTCTTATTTAAAGTATTTTACAATGAACTTTCATAAAATTCAGAAGCTAAAAACCATACAAATATAAACCTTTCTGTAGAAAGATTATGTTCTTTTGTGTTGTTTGCGCAATTTGATTCTAAAGTTTTTTGTGTATTCCCCCCCCAAAAAAAGAGTAAAAGACCAGCATATGTCAATTGAACAGACCCAGTTCCTGGAGATATAATTATGTTTTGATCATAAATAATCCTTCTAATTGTAAAATAACTCATATGCTTATTAGAAACAACTTACATGTCAACTTCTTGGTTGTAACCTACTGCATTCTCATACATTGAAGCCTTAAGCAATTCTGGAGCCAAATACCCTGGTGTTCCACACAGTTCTGAAAAATAAATTTTCAAAGATTTATGATTATAATCTACATATATTTATCAGGTTGACCCTACAAAATATATAAGTAAATTCTCAAAGTGCATTAATATTGAAGAAATTCTTCAGAGATCTCCTTAATAACACATTATGATTCTGCCAATGACCAACAACTTTAAACCTCACCATAAATTACTTACTATGTCTTCCCAATACACTTTCAGATTACTGATTGTGTATGTCATTACTTTCTATTAACTCTATCATACCTGGGTACATCAAGTTAACACATCTGTTGTATGGATTGTTTTATTGCATTTAAAAAAAAAATGAAACAGTTTTAAACTTCAGAAGAACTTTATAAAGATTATGTATGTAGTTCCTGCACACATAAAATATCTTATTTTTATATGTGATACTTGTATGAATTTGCAGCCTTAAGATGTCTAAAACATTTTAATATGATGTGTATTTTAAGAAACAATTTAAAATACTTAACTTTCTTGTTTGTTTGCTGTAAAGTGCAAAACTACACAATGGGCTATCTGTACTCTAACCACCGAGGGTATCAGAACCCGATTTTCAGTATAATAAGCCCACTGACTTACCGCTGAGCCACTGAAGAGGCTACCTTTCTTGTAGATTTTAAATACTGATTTTTATGATTTTTTTATATATTCTTCTAAAACTATACTATAAAGTTTTTACTTTATAACACTAAATCTTTTCTTTATTTTGACTTAAAAACATCACACAAAGTTTCATTGTATTTGTGATTACAGGAGTATGATAAAAACGTTTTTTTTATCATGTCAAAATTATAAGCTGATTTTATTAAATGGAATTTTCATTTAATACATGTAATAAGCTTAATGTCTTACATTAGTTTATATATGTATATATATATAGTGGAAGTGCTACTGTCTTACACAGTTAAAAATAATAGTTAAAAAGCTTTATGTGTTTAATATCATTACTCTATAACTTCTGAAAACTGAGGCAGTTACATCACACTAAGACAACCAAGATTTAGAAACAATGATTAACTAAACTGATAAAATTAAACTTGTATTCAAGTCACAAGGTGAAATTAGTGCTATTTTGTTTAAACTATTATATCTTTTTAACCGTTGTCTATTAGTGTTGTATTATACTCAGAAAAACATAATGAAACTCACAAACACTAATGAAATCATTCAGATCATGTTCAAATCAATGCAAAAATAAAAATTTGCTAATATTTATTATTATTTATTTTCATGCGTAAGATTAAATAAATAACACTTTTAACTGAATAAATTTGAAATTCAAAAATTTCTTTTATTGTTTGGAAGGATTACTACAAGTTTAATTTTTTATAAGTTTTTTTAAGTTCAATGATCTAATTTTGTTATTGACGCAGGATTCACCTACTTGGATGTGATAGACTTAAATAAATACATATTTTGAACAATTAAATGGTTTGGGATAAATTTTGTGGTGAAAATGTCCCAAGAAAACTTTATTGTAATATGTTTCAAGAAAGTGGCATGCATTTTCAAGCTACTAATATAATATCTTGGATTGTTAAGCTGTACATCAAAGTTTTTATATTAAAACTTAATCTTGTGATTCAGCTTTCTAATTGTTTCAGCACAAAGCTACACCACAGGATATCTGCACTCTGTCCATTATAGGAAACTGAACCCCAGACTTTGGCGTTATAAGTGCTGAAACTTACAGCTGACCCACCAGGGGACAACTTTCTAGACTGGATAGGTTATTTATCACAGCTCAATTAATTTCATTATTATGACATCTGAACTTGTGAAATGCAAGTTGGACAGTCACCTAGACTTTGAAAAGAGCAATAGAAGATTTTTAATATAGATTTATAACAAAAAAAACAAAAAGAACTTTTAATATTTCAATGTGGAAATCTCATAAAAAAACAACACTCTTAATTTCAGGAAGTTTTATCTAATTTTTTTTCCTTTCAAGACATTACATGAAAGACACAACCTAAATGTTATAAATGTCACAGCTGTTGCATTTCACTATTAAGTCACTTATGTTTACCTTACCAAATAGGCACTCTTCTTGTTTTACAGTTTTGGCAAATCCAAAATCTGTAATCTTGACACTGAACTCATCATCCAAAAGAATGTTTTCTGGCTAATATAGCAAAAATCAGAAAAAGTGTTTTGAGATAGTCATGAAACACAGCACAAAATGCAATGTAATATAGATGTAAATCACTCTTTGATATATGTTTTCAAATATACTGTTTAAAACAATTAAAGGATAACTGAAAATTGTAGTATTACAGTTATAACAAGACAAAACCACTGACAAACTCATATGTGTAGGCTAGAAAAAAATCCAACTGAAACTATTTTCAATCACTGATGACAAACTAACAGACGAAGAAATTGGAAATCCAACAAAATCCAAAATTCATTTAAAAATAAATCAACAGCTTCATTTCAATAGTTTCATAAAAATATAAATATCTGTATCTTATAAAACTGCAAAAACAAAACAACAACAGCATTGGGGACCAACTAGGGGGGTTGTATTCAAATTACTATGTTTTAAAAATAACAAAATTTTCTCTTCCTAACTTTTGGCTAAATACTTCTTTTTGATACTTTACACTACAGTCACATTAAACAACATTCCACAAGTGATTGAGTAGAAAGTATCTTTACACATACCTTTAGATCACGGTGAACTACATTCTTAGAATGTATAAACTCTACTGCTTCCAAAAGTTGTTTCATGATAGTTCTGCAGGAACAAAAAAATGTTTCTTTTAACAAAGCACCTAAGATATGTAGACTATCATGTTTCACCAAAAGCCAGAAAAATGCACTTTTGTTTATAGAATTCAAGTCATCCTGATGCTAAAACGAGATGCTAGATTTACACACTTTTTTTTATGTAACTAAAAGCTTTAATTATTTACATAAACAAAATAAATACTTGACTGAAATATTACTTACATGTAAATAAACAGCATAACTTCAATACCACCACCACCACCACAACAATTAAGACAAAATTTCTGAGGCACACTATACACAGTCTCAAGAAAAAAAACTGTCAAAGTTAAAATCTTACTATAATGGATGTAGCATATATGTCAGTATCTGTATATGTAACCCAAACTTCTGCGATATCTATTGAATGGCACCACAAAAATTCTTAAAAAATTTCTCACATTGGGTATTCAAATTCAGACAGTTAAAAACACAACTTTCCACACAGATCAGGGGTGAAAGGCCATGTAATTGCATTTGTTGACTTGCATTCAAAATTTTACTGAACTACTATTTTATAAATTTGTGTCATTAATTTTGGTATCAAACTGTAGATTATGATCCAAATTTTAGTATTCTATATTATTTAGTTTCTTAATTTAAAAGTAAATATTAAAAAAACACACCTAAACATCTATTTTTGTGTGTCATGTGATATGTTGAATGCAGCACTGGTTCAAATTAAATGTTTGTGATGTCAAAATACAAATTCTGTAGTTTTGTATGAATTAGAAACTCATATTACTGATACTGACAAGCTAGAATATAAAATAAGAACCTCCTATCTTTTCTATTTGCTGAGATATTGCTCATGTACTGAATGAAATGCTGTGGTCCCGCTCACCTCTTTCCATTTTTGGAAACAGTCCCTTATATATACATAGTTCTATATATGACATGTGAATAATCAATCAAAAGCTCAGAAAGTCCCCCTAGTGGCTTTCTCAGCCATTTTAATGTGTAGGATGCCATCTTGTTCTTTCAAACCAAGATTTCAAGGAGATAGGTTGTGTTTTTAGTTTTCTCAAAAATTCAAAATATTTTAGACTGAAATACAGCTTAGTTACTAAGCTTGATAAATTATAGTGGAATTCTGTGGTATCAATATAGTAATTTATGATTTTTTTGGTTATTCAAATGTATATACAAAACCTAAAAAAAAATATGTTTGTTTCACATCCTCCACGTGCGAAATTTCTTAAGGCTTAGCAAGCAATGACAAGCAGCAACTGAGTACAAAGGTTGTAACTAAAAGAGATAATTGTTCGTTTTACTTCTTTATTTACTGCTGTGTTTTAAGAAAAATAAGTTTAAGAAATTATTTGTAAATAGTAATAATCTATGCACATACATATAATGTATAATAATTGAAATGTGACTGTATCTTACAAAATACTAGTCTACTAAAACACAGCCAAGACAGATCACTCTGTAGAGACTGAAGGTCAGTTTTATATTATTGGATATGGTAAGATGAGTGCATTTGTGCCACATCATTGTAACTTCTGTATTGTTATCCAGGCATGACTGATAGGTCAATATAATAAAATAATAAATATATATATAAATGTATAATATTATCAGATTTAAGCTATTTAGTCTAAACATTTGTTTTCGGGATATAATTTGTAGTCATTCTAGAATGAAAAAGGCATAACTTATATTTATTTCCTTTTTTTATGGTGGTTATGAGATCGATCAAATCGACCAGACCCGTACAGATATTTTTTAGTGAAAATAAGATAAAAATATAATTTTTCTTAAGAAATGTTTAATAACTATCTGAACATTATAAGAATTGTGTATGTGAAACTTGAACATTTTCTGATGCATAAAAGTATTTTTAATCTTAAAATGAAAATTACTTTGCATGTTAGATAGGGAACATGTGAAAAGAGAAAAAGGCATGAGAAAAACATTGCTTTAGAAAAAATCAAAATTAAATATCTTATTTTTAAAAACTACATACTTAGAGGACCTTTCATCTCAAATTTAAAAGACTTTCATCCACTAGTTTCATTTTTGTAAAGAACTTTCACAAGAGTTGCATACCTACTGTAGGTCATAGTCAAAGGGTTAATTAAACTAAATACACTTCAAAAAGTGAAAAGCAATTATAATGCTAAAGAAATACATTTTTCAATTGAATAAAAAAGTTAAAAATAATAACATCATTTTAAAATTCTCACTAACAAAATTATTATACTTACTTCGTTTTTTTCTCAGAAAGAGCAACTACATTTGTAAGGTAATCAAACAATTCCCCATTTTTACACCTATAAAGAAGAGGACATCAAATTCACATCTGTTCTCACAACCAGTGCAATTAGACAAATTCAGTGATAAGTGTATAGTAATGAAAACACTCAAAATGCTACAATCCTGCAAAAAAAAAGTAGCTTCTGATTGGTAACAGCATAATAAAATACATAGTAACATATTTTTGTACACAGACCTTTGTTTATTACACACGTATTGCAGCTTTTTTCATGTTAGGAAATGGTTGGTTTAGAATTTCACACAAAGCTACATGAGGACTATCTGTGCTAGCCATCCCTAACTTAGCAGCGAAAGATTAGAGTCTAGTCATTACCACCCACCACCAACTTTTGGGCTACTGTTTTATCAATGAATAGTGGGATTGATCATCACATTATAATGCCTCCACAACTGAAAGGGCAAGCATGTTTGGTGGAATGAGGATTCAAACCACCAGATTGTGATTCGAGCACGCTAACCACCTGGCCATACCAGGCCGTGTTAGGAAATGACATGAACCATTTGTGTAACATATTTGATGCTCATTTCTGAATCAGTTCTGGAGTTATGTTTTGAACTGAAAAACAAGCAGATGTCATCAAGCAATATAAAATAACCTTAGAGCACTAAATGCTGTTTGGAGGCAATATTTTAAACTGCTCTATGCCGAGACCAAAAACAGTTGCTTTTTTTTGTACTTAACATATTTTTTATTTTCAATAACACATAAGTGAGGCATGACATAAAAGAGTACACAATTATTCTAACAATAAAATAACAGAGAAAAATCACAAAATGCTTCTATTTATGTTGAAATGAAACAAGGTTAGAGTGAAAAGTGTGCTGTTAGTTTGATTTCATTTTTGTCTTGTCATGTTATGTTGGTAAAAAAAGTAATAAAAATAAATTTTTTTATCAAATAATACCCTTTTTGACTTACGTATTGCTAAGTACACTTAGTTTAAAATTTAGTAAATACCTTTACTTACAATTCAAAAACTAAGAAGATAAATGTTGTGGATTCAAACACATCATGAAGTTCAACTGAAAGAAAAAATTAGCAGTCATTATAAGTACAAAAAATTAGCAAGATCAAAGAAAATGTAACACACAAACATAAAAGTTATACAGTTCAAGCTGTGGGACCAAAAGGAAAAAAAAGAGAACTACAAAGTAAAAGCAGTTGTAACTTACATTGCATTTTTAATTTTAACCCAAACAAGCTTTTATTAAACATTATATATATATATATTTTACACAAAACAAAATCATATCTTTTAATAAATTATTTTATAAAAGATTTGTCTTTGAGCTTATGAAGCTTTTATGGAGTTGTTCTGAATGAAAGGTGATTTTCATATTAAGAATAAAAATACTTATTTTCAGCTTACAGTTTTTATATTTCATTTGCCTAACTTCTATAACCTCCTAAATGACATCAAAAGGTTTTTTCAGTAAAACTTTACATATCATCTCTTATTTTCTGTATCCTCACACTAACTGTACTGAAATCACCAATGTACAGCAAAATGAAAAGTGGAAAAATATAGAATAATATCAATAATACATTTTCTTCTTCTTTGAATTGAAAATTGATTCAAGAGTTTCAAATTAATTATCTTTACAAATTCAACTGTTAGATGTTTCCTCTTATGCAGGAAATGAAGGAGATATGAGAGCCTCAGCATCAAAAGCTGCATGTTTCAAAGATATATAGAAGTAGGGTAAACCTGCTCCGCATACAAACTGAGAAAGGCACCCCAAGTAAATGAGGTACAAGGTGGCAGTTAAGACTTAATTGTAGAACCAAACCAGTCACCTCAAATTAAATGACTCCCAAAGAAGAATTGAAGTCACAACAGAGGAATCCATGTGAAAAGGGGTAAGTTCAGGCCAAATGTCCAGAGTAGTAGAACGACAAGCCTTAAGAATGTAAATTGTAAGTGAGAGCCCCACAGCATCCAATGAACAAAGTTAGGTGTCATAGTCAACTCAAGGGGAAGGGCTGGAAACTGAATGACTGATCATTGTGGATGAATTTAAATAATAGAGGAAAGACAAAAGTTGGACAGAATGATGTCTGGCTGCCATCCTCCCATCTTCATGGGAATGAGAAAAAGACAGGAGGAAGTATGCCATGGTGTATATGAAACTGATGAGATAGAGAGTAGAAGAACAAGAAAAATTACTGAGAAATTACCTGAGGAACTCAATATGTTATAGCAAACAAAGTCTACAAGTGTACAAAGTACGAGAGCAGAGCCCCACAGGACCAGAGCCATGGGATGGCAGCAGGTACAAATTGCCTTCTCAAAGTTGATGGATCTTGTATGGTAAAAAGAGGACAAAGATCAGAAGAGGAGTGAGAAAATATGACTGCTGATGAGCTGCATCAGCTCAAAATGTCAAAGTATAAAAAATACCCTCCCCCTGAATAATATAAAAACACATTACAAAGAAAGGTTCAAGACAGATGGACTAGAGAGAAGATTGAGAGAGGCAAATGTCAGAAAGTAAGGCAACCTGATAAAGCACATCCCAGAAATAAAGAAGCCAAGTTAACTAGAACAAAATGGGAGAAAATTCAAGTGCAAGGTGGAAAACAAGTCTGTGCAAGTTGCCTCAGTAAAGCTGACAGGGTCATGATGCAAAGCCCTTAAAAGAAGAGAAAGTATAGGAATGAATAAAGAAGTTTAGTACAAGAGGAAGATGAGTACATGGTAAGAAAGATAAAAAAGAGAAGGACAAAAAAGGGGACCCCTAAACTGAAAGAAGAGATTCAAGGAATGGAAGCTAACATAACAAGGCAGACAAGTGAAACTTAGTTGAATGAATGGCAACAGCCTGTTGTAGGAAATACAAGTGTAGAGGAAGACATTTCAAAAGTCTTCCTCCTTTCATCTTCAACCAGACAGAAAATGTTCCATATACTGCCCTCACCATTAAGAGGTTGAAGATGAAAAAAGATATACTGTAACTCCAACATATTGGCTAAGGCATGTGAATTGTGTTATATATACTCAATAACGACAAACATAAGTAAACAGAGCGTCATACGTCAAGCAACTGGAATTATGAAGAGGAAGTTAGCTTTGCACCAAAACTGGACAAACTCCCAAAACCACCGTAGAAGCAAGAAATACAACAAACTGAACCCAGCATAAAAGGATTGTGGTGTTGCCTCAACTCAACTGTAAGAATGGGGTAATATCTATAACAGGTATTATGAGTATAAATCATAAATCACTCAACCGTAAATGCAGGGAAGAGACATCTAGCATCCGGAATTATAGGTAGGACATGGAACATTTGCTCAGTCATAGGAACATTGCAAATAAATCACTCAACCGTAAACGCAGGGAAGAGACATCTAGCATCCTGAATTATAGGTAGGACATGGAACATTTGCTCAGTCATAGGAACATTGCAAATAAATCACTCAACCATAAACGCAGGAAGAGACATCTAGCATCCTGAATTATGGGTAGGACATGGAACATTTCCTCAGTAATAGGAACATTGTACATATGTCCTGTAGCCGGGAATTATGAGGCAGATAAAGCCCTCCAAACTCAACTGTAGGAGCAGGGAAAAAAAACCTCCTGCAATCAGAAGTAACGAGAAGATGGGCCTCAACTGCACACAACCATAGGAACGGGGAGGTGTTATCCCAAACCTGGTATTACGAGGAGGATCCCATGTAGGCTGGACCTGCTCCAACCTACATGTTATTTTCTTTTGATAGCTGTCCACCTGGGAAAAAGCTTCCAGGGGAACCAGCATTGCCCTCTTCTCACTGAGTGAATAATCATGAGTATAGATGGTGAAGTAGACTCCCTCTGGTCCACCACCCCAGTGACTGGGAATTGGTAAGGACTCTTGTGCTCCACTGGAAGTAAAAAGGGGAACTAAACGTGGTGGGGAGTCCAGAGGAATGTTCACACCTAAGAAGGCACAATGAGTGTCTGCGATACCATATTTTGAAAAGCAGATCGATCCAAATTTCTTCAATCAAAGGTTCGGCAGGGATGGGCAGAAATCCCCTTTTGCTTTACTTATGAAGTTCATAAGTGATGGTCCACCACTGAGAGAAATGTACTGATATCTAGAAACATATATATAAACCACTGGGTATACTACCAGTGGTCTTGCAGAAACACCCCATCTCTAATGTGAGCATTATAGTGTAATCAGTAAATAGTGTGGGTTTCATGCAAAGCATGCCTGACCAGGCAACACCTGCCACAGAATGGGATCCCATTATCAGTGGTTAAAACTATGACTGAAAGGAAGTGATGAAACTTATCTCAGTCAAAATCTAATGCAAATGTGTAAAAATGACACTGGAGGGAAGCGATATTCACCAGAGAAACATACAGTCAGATCGTGCAGATAATGAGTGACAAAGATATTGGGAGTAGTCCACATTCTAGTCTGTACGATCTCCTCCAATGGATGGCGAAGGTGAGAAGCCAAAGATATGGTGATATGATGAATAAGATGAGAAGAAATATTGTGGAGATAGTGACCTTCCATGGAGAATATGCCAGCCTAACAAGTTGACGAACCCAACCAGGTAATGTAACAGGGGTAGATCATAGAAAAAGGAAGGGTTCCAGTGAATAAAAGTTGGGAACTTAAACCTCCAAAAGGAGGCATAAGGAGCGAACCGGACAAAGAAGCCAATCAGGATAGGAATGGGAGGAGTACCAGTGGGAGATGGAAGTGAAGAAAATGGATGTGAAAGCCAAACAGCCTTCACAGACAGCATAGGTCTGAGGGAGAAAAACCAGTCAGGATATAATATGACATAAGAGGAATGGTAGATGAAGTAGGTAGCATTAACATCTGATCAACAACTTCTGCAAACAAGGAGGAGAAGGAAATAGGTCTTGAGGGAGAGATGGTAGATGGAATATGAAGAGAAAGGTTCAAAGGCCCACACTGAGAGTCCAATCAGGAAAACCAAAGGAACATGGAGGATGCATGAAGAAGTGGAAAAAGGAGGGAAATGTACAAACTATCTAAACCTACATAGTTAACAAAGTACTTATAAATATCAAATGGACAATGATCTAAATTTATCTAGTCTACAAAGTATGTAATAATAACAAATGTGCAAACTGACTAAAATTACCTAGAAAACACATCAATAATCCATTTCTAACTTACCATTCATCTAAATTAACATAGATGACAAAGGACACCCAATTATGTCCAACACTGACAAAAATTAGGATGATAAAGCACAACGATTAAATTTATCTATAAAACAAAATAATAATCAATATTTAACTTGCAATTCATCTAAAGTAACACAAATTTCTAACTTACTAAAATCCAAGCACTGATGACATGTAATACTTAATTCTTCCATGTGTAAATAAGGGCAAAGCCACACAAAGGGCACTGGAGCCATGTCTACTATGGGTATATCAACTAGATGTGAAGTGTACATGTTAAAAAACTTAACACAGATCCCCTGGGAGAACTGAAAGCAAAAGAAATAAGGGAGGAGAAGAAAAATTCACTGCCAAAGTGAATGACGTGGAGGCACGGCAACTGGTGGAAGGTGAAATCTCTTGAAGAGGTGTAGAATGTGACAGACCCAAATAAGAAGGTGCCAGAAAAAGAGAGTTCAAATTGTCTTCTCATAGATTGTATTTTTCCTCAGAAACAATGTTACATTGAAAAGAAGAAGAAATCACCAGCCAAACATATGAATCTAGCTCCCTGCAAATTAAGACCTGTACTTCCTTTGCAGATAAAGTCTAAACCTATTCCTGAAAATTCATTTACCAGTAGCATTTTCAACTGTAATGGGAAATTCTGTAGTCGACACATAGATCACAAATTCATGTGAAGATCTTTTATAATTCGGTAACAAGAAAATAAATGTAGAGAAGCACATTCATAAATGGTAGTCACATCCAAAAAAACTCACGTATAAACAATTCCGTGCAAATCGAGAAAGTGAGGATTGTGCGGGAATAGCCATTATAGGTGGCTCAATATTATTATTGGAGAGTAGTCACATGATATGTACATGTTAAGAAATAGCACAAAACTGATGGGATATACAGACTGGTGTGCTGATTGCAAAATTTTTTTACCAATGCTTAGAGGGCAAAAGAAGATCGAGATAGCTTTGTGTAAAAGAGGGTATGACTGTGTCAGAATTTTAACGTTTACATTATATAGGAAGAAGAGGATCTAACCTCTGAGAGTCTAAATAAGGGTTCTCCAGGCAATGGAAAGCCAAGGCATGCTGATCCAATAAACATGGAGAACAAGGCATGGCAGCACCGTCTCTCAAATGATCAGCAAATCTCCTCGTATGCACAGCAATTTCTGACAAAGATGGAAGGACCACGTAATCAGACAAATTCCCCTAATAAAGAAGGAGAAGATTCACAAGCTACATGAGAAATACTCAAAACATTACAAAGTTGGCATACTAGTTGCAAAAAAAGGTGCAGGAGGCTAGTGATTAGCTGTCTGAGCAAAGGAAGGTACCAGAAATATATAGTCTAAATTCTCACCAGTTGGCATGTAAGACTCTGCCACTCTGTGTATGAAGAACTGCATGTCCTCCGAGGAAGGTACCCCCTCGATGCCTCGGTTACCACACTCGTGTTTTTTCAGTAAAATAAAAAAATACACAATAAACTCTAGACCCACTAGAACAGGTCTAAAAGAAAACATCAAAAAAGTAGTAATAACACTGAAGAGAAATCCACAGTAATCACGTAAGATCTTCATTGTAATTTCTTCCATCGATAAAAAGTGAATAAGAAGTAATAACGGGGAGCTTATATACAGATCTGGTATAAAGGGCACATTGCCGTAGGTGGAGAGTGTCACAAAATTAAAATTGCTATGGGCGATATTGTTGGGTATAAAGACTGGAGCAATCGAGGTATAATTCATACCAATACTTTGATTGGTAGAGAAGAGAACTTTTCATTGGGATAAAGCTAAAGTGTGAGTAGAGGTAAGTGTCTTTTAGAACTGGGGTTACAAGCAAAATAAACTATAGTAGAAGAAATAAAAACAATAAACCAAGTTTTTATTTATTTGGAATTTAATTATGTTTTACTTTATCATGGCCTTTGAGAGTAAACACTTCAAACATATAAAAGAATTTAGATCAACAAGAATGTAATAGTAAGCTCCAACCTGAATGGTGGTATCTTATGATATTTGTTTCTTTACCCAAACACTACCTTACATATGTAATGGACTAAATGGTCAAGTCAAAGACCCCTAAGGTTCAAGTATAGCTGCTCCTTATTTTGAAATGAAAATGGGGATTGAATGTCATTTTTTGAAATTCACCCACAACCATAAGTATAGAGCATGTTCAGTGGCATCATGACTCATAGGTTGGATCCTTCAACCTACAACCTGGCACACTAACTTCTAAGCCACATCTAGGCCAGATGTACAAAATATACATTGTTTGCACTTAATGATTCTATTGCAAAATAACTTCCTACACAATGTAATATCTGAATCATTAGATTTTGAATCTACTAATAGATGAAGCCATACGTTTAAAAAATATAAGTATCATTTGTTACAAATCGAATATTCATCACAATTAGATAATATTTTTATAAATGACGCTAAATTCAGTCATAAAAAATGAAGATTAATTAGGCAACATTACTAAAATATTCTCATTGTCTTTAGTTAACTGAAACATAGAAAACATATAAAAAACAAAAATTTTTATTATCTAAAGAATTTTGTCATATGGTATTATTGAACAACTAAATAATAGTAAAGAACTCAAAAAAAGAAATATAATTCCAAATAGGAGTAAAGATACAGCTTGAACTAAATAACCAAACATAAGATAAATAATGAAACTTAGGTGATACAGCTAAATGTACTGAACAATTATTGTATGATTAATCATGTTAACTATAAAATAAATGGATGTCTTGAACAATCATAGATCAAGTTAAATGAGAATTTTTTTTTTTTATAAGGTGTTTCTATTTATATATTTTTTCTGTCATTTAACATTTAGGTACTATCCAAACACAAGTGAACAACTCCAATGAATATCACAATAGATAAGTATTATAGGTAATATAAGATGGAGCTTAGAACTAGTACAACAAATATAAATATACAAACAAAAGTTACAAAATATAAAAATAACTATCTTGAAAACAAAACTTTGCTAACAGCTTAGTACACGGTAACTATAACAACAAAACATATCACTAAAGATGTAAATATAGCTACAATTGTTAATCTGAAATGAAAAGCACAGTAATAACACTTTCAACTGAAGGACCAAACATTAAAACCAAGGTGTATTTATAAAGTAGGGGTGGAGTTTCTGATTTCAATCTTTTCTGCTGCTGTAACTTTATAGCTTGGGTGATTTTTACCTTGATAAACAATTTCAGATATATTAGTAATCGACAAGCTATGTTTTTTTATGATGATAAGAAGAAACATAAAGACCACAATGTTGAGAATTATTTCTATTCCTAGCACCACAGTTTCAATCCATTGCTCTTTCTCTTATGGATCTTACAGTTTCTCCATTATACATGGAGACAAGACTCATACATGAAATAAAGGTTAGTTTGCATTAAATGTATGCATATATACACAAAACATTTTGCTAAAAAATAACTTACAAAAAATTTTGTGAAAAAAGAAGATGATGGAAAGATAAGTAAAGAAACTTTAAACTATATAAGTAATAATTTAGACTAAAAAAAAATTCAATGCCATGCCCAAAATGTAGTAGAAATCATTAAGAAAGGAAAGAATGGATATAATAACAATACCTACTGATGTATGGATGACCTGCTACTAGTTTCAATATGTGAATTTCTCTCAAGGTTGCATCTCTTACAGAAATTCCAATTCCCTGTGAATCATCTGTATCTCCACTGATGTCAATGATTTTTGCTGCATATTGTCTTCCTGTTTCCTTTTCCACACATCGTCGTACTGTACTGCTAACTCCTCTAAAAGAAAAATAGAGTTGTTTTGATTTACACAAAAAATACATAATTAGACTGACAGAGAGAAGTACAGACAAATAATCACTCACAAAAGACTTGCTTATTACAACCATCAGTTTAGTCTTGTCTATAATGACTAGATCTAAATGCTAAAATATTTTCAAATACTGACAAATAATTAGCTCAGTATTATCTTAGATTCTCATGAAATAATAAGAAACATTAAGTTAACCATGCAATGAGTAAATTTGGTGTTGAATAGTTAAAAATGTAGGTATAAAAAGATTTGGTCAACTTGGTTGATGATCTTCGAGTCTGATTAAAATATCTACAATTTTACTATAATTCAGTATACTAATACTAATCTAAAAGGGATACAACAGAAAGAGAATAACAGCATGAGTTTAAAAAATATAAAAATGATTTATAAGGAAGTAATTTGTCTAATGTGAATTTACATTACATATATATATATATATATATATAATACATTACATTGATAAACTATATTTCTCTGGGAAGAGTAATACCCAGGATAATTTCAAATTCTGTTCACAAATTAACATATTTAAATAAATATTCAAGTTCAGGTTTTAGTAATGATGAAGATTTTTTTCTCAAAAAAGTTTTTATTTAAATATTTTTTCTGTTTAATGTATTTTAATAAGGATATTTAAAATAACTGTTCACTGAATAAACAAGTTTCTACCAAAATAATTATCTCTAAAGGTTATATTATCTGAATGTTACTTATGCATATTCAGCACAACATTCTTGTTCAAAATTAACTGTTGGTCACAAGGAAATATAAATTCTTTAACACCTCTTGCCAAGAGCAGTTCAGAACTTCAAGCATATCAATACATTTCAGAAAAAAATAACACTTTTGGCTAACTGCCTTTACATTGTATGCTTAATTTGTCTGTAAATTGTCTACCAAGGTTGCCAACTGGAAAAACTTCATCTATTATCTCTTTCCACATGCTTGTTCATAGTAAATGCTAACTAACTAAAATAGACAATAAACTACCTATGCTTAGCTGATAACTTTACAGCCTCATTTCAAGGTAGTTGCAATAGTATCATTAAAGATTAAACAACAACTACAATGGTTTAATGGGAAGTTAAAAGGTTAAATATCACCAGTTTCAAACAATATCAGTCACCATAGAGACAAATGGTAACTTAAGATAGTTGAAAGAGAATTTTAATGTTAAAACCTGAAGACTGAGTGGAGAAGAATTATGGTAATTTAAATGTAGAAATTGTAAGACAGCATGTAACACTATCATTAAAAAATTACAAGTACAGAAATTACTCAAGAAATTTTAACTGTTTAAATATAAAAATACAGTGAAACAGCAAAGAATTTCATAGAAATTTATGATGGTTGCTTCTCATCATAATATAGTGAGACACTGTCAGAGAGGAATACAGACAACTAATCTGGGTGGTAATAAACGACTGCATCGGCTGCAAATGAGACAAGTTTCCATGTAGCGGAAACTTGGCAAAAATCTGAGCTGGAAGTTTTAAGAGGCACTTGAAGTGAAAAAGCTAATAGATACTTTTAAATATCCACTCAGTCTTCAGGTTTTAACATTAAAATTCTCTTTCAACTATCTTAAGTTACCATTTGTCTCTATGGTGACTGATATTGTTTGAAACTGGTGATATTTAAGCTTTTAACTTCCCATTAAACCATTGTAGATTGGTTTTAGGGCAAGACAAAATACCAAAAGATGTGATATAGAGAAAATATTTTCATTTGTTTTTATTATTATCATAATTTGTTATTTTTTTGATTTATGCATAACTTTTTCATAATACGATTTTTCAAAGTTGGGCACTGAAAATTCTGTTCTCCAAAGGAGTAACCACTCCCAAATTTAGTCTGTATTACCCTCTAACTGTTATCAGAGTTTTACATTAAGATTCTCTAAGAAATCATGTCTATAACTAGTACACATCTATATTCCTTTATTCCTCCTCTTATTAAGCATAAGCTTTGAAACATTTACTGATCATAGTTACAATGTTCAAGGATTTACATTGTGATGTCCATTCAGTTGATACAGTCACTAAAGCAATTTACATTTGTAAGCAATTGTAAAAAATGGTCTCACGCCATGAAGTACTATTTCACTGTCCTCTAAAATGTCATGAAAAGTATTTTAAAGGAATATAAGTTAGATTTTTCTTGTAGAAGAGTGATCTGCAAAAAAATCAAAGTAAATAAAAAATCAATTTCACACAATGATTTGCTATTGTACACTGAAAATTACAAGACAACAAAGCCTATAGATTCCTAGTATTAATACCAATACTCACCTGCCAAGAATCTCTTTGGGTTCATATTTTGCATAAAAGTCCCTGGCCACATCTTTATCTGGGAGGTCATCTGCCTCCTCTTTAGATGGAGACACCATTTTACAGACTACACTACCAGCTTCTTTAGTTGTAGTGGGCTATCCTTCCTAAAGTCTATGGTTGGTGATAAATATCTTTCATTAGATGAAATAGGAAATAATAAGGCCAATTTGTAAAACCTGAGTGACTTGTTGGTTTTTACTCAAGTAATAGGTAAAAAAACAATTTATGTCTTTTTAGAATCAAAAACAGTTTTCTGGTTTACATAACCATCTGGAGAAGCATCAACTCCTTGCAAAAATGCAATATCCAAATTTTGGGAATAATTAAACATTTTTATTTTGAAGGAAATGGTTCTTGTGTTAAAAATGTCTAACATACTCTAGTCCATGCTGTATATTCTGAATAGAAAACAAAAACACTTCACACTTTTCACTAATACCATTTCTTGTGAAACAAAGAAAATACACAACATTTTCAAGATAAACCATTAATTACAAAATCATGACTAATGTAACTTTCATGGAAACTTAAACCCTTTTGATGTATGTTGTAAGCTTGTTATTAAACAAATATTCTAGTCTGCTCAATTCTTTTATCTTTACTAATCTTCTGTTCAGTGACCTGAATTCAATAGTTGATGTGTATGTAACAAAAGTTATAATTTTACAGCACCTATATACAATACTCACAAATCCTATATTGTAAGTTTTCACTCTTTATATGTAATTCTATACAACGAGGTGTGTTACAAAAGCCAGTGCAAAAATAGTATAACCTCTAAAACAGAGATTTTCACCTTAAACAACCTTTTTGTTTTCTTCTCACTCAGTACCATGTAGCCTTTCTTGGAAACCTCCCAAATTCAAAAAGTAGAACATTATTTAGTATCTGTGCTGCCACCTAACGATGCTCACGATAACCAGAAACTGCATGGCTTAGAAAACAATGTACTTTGTATATTTATTTACATATAATTTTCTTTTCATTAAAGAAAATAAGAAATGTTAATATGAAATAACACTATTTCTGATTGTAAATGAGATCACTCAACAGAACTAAAAAACCCTTAGTTACTTTTTATGTATAGAAGTGCTGCATAAAACGGCACTATAAAATCTATGGAAAATTTGAAATTAGTAATAGTTCCCTTCCAATACATTTTACAAATTATTAAAAATTTTATCTAATAAATTCTCATTTAAGTTGTTGTTTTCTTGTGAATGTTGCTACATCCTCATTTAATCTTCACTATTATAATTACCATATCACAATTTGATCGTTGCTGTTATGTCAAAACTTGATTTGATTATCACTACATCAAAACTTGTCTGAGACTATTGCTATATTAAAATTGCATTGTGACTTTTATTATGTGTATATCAAAATGAAATCACTAAACAAGTCCACTGTTAACATTATAGTCTAGCAAACTGAGTTTCTAGTGATTCATGTTGCAAGTTTCCATTTCCCAGCTACATGTACAAGGTACCTGTGAACAAGATTTAGTCAACAGATCCACTCAAATGTGCATACACATTAAATATAAAAACTACTATACTTTCATGCGCCTGAAAAAACTTATTTCATTTCCAAGATATAACTAGCCTACAGTAGTACAAACTACATACTGAAACTCCTTTGTTTCTAAACAACTTAATGTAGCAGCAGAAATTTAAAAACAGATTTAGATTTCAGTGGAACAATCAATTTACATTTTAAGAAGGAAGCTAAATAATATTTTTTTGAAAAACCAGGTGTACATGTAATTAACATATACAAACACATATGTATGCATGACCATGCTTTAATAATGTATTGTGGTACATAAATATTTCTATGTGAAATGTCAAGTTAAGAGCTATTTGTGACAACCATGGGCTAGACATCATAACACAAATGTTTGCTACTTTTTTAACTAGCATTTTCTATAACATAAACAACAGAAGTTCTAACTTGCATGTTTGTTCCTACCTAATATATTCAATATATATATATACATATATAGTAAACAAGCATAAAAGTAATAAAATACACTTAAAACAAACCTTAGGGAATATAATCATAAGGCTAATAAAGCATCATAAATGCACTTTTACTGCTTTCAAAATGCACCATATAGGTTGTGCATGTTAAGTAACATTAGCCAACCAAACTGAGCTGTAGCTCATACATAACTATGTGTATGACAGTGATTGGTTAGTTTGGTTATTTTTGTCCACTGTATGCTGTGGCTTGCATCTGTATGTGTGTGACAAAAACGCAATGATGCTTAGAACACACTTGGAATTGCTGCAAGCAATATTGAAAACACTGTTCATTGCAGTTTATGAAATGTCAGAGCTGCTTTATGCTCCACTTTTATATTGCATTTTGAGTATAAAATCTGGTTAAAGAACATAAAATTCTGCATAAACATGAGGTCTGATACATAAAATTTAAGGATTACAAAAGCCTATTTAATCAATCAAAGCTGTTCCATCCACTTAAAAAAAACAAAAAAACTCAAATCCAGCACTGGTCATTTAAATACTTATCAAGTCTTCACTTAAAACTTCCTTAAATTTACTACATCCACTACATCTGAAGGCAACTCATTCCAAAGGCCAGCCATCCTGTCAGAAAAATGAATCTGTCTACAAAATTCACTACATCTGAAAGTACCCATTACAAAGGCAAACCACCCAGTAAGAAAAATAAAACTGTTTAAACTGAAGGTGAGTCCCAGCCTTCCAAAAATTTATATTTCTGTCCCCTCATCCAACACACTTTTTTTTTGTTGTTTTTGTTGGTCATGGCGAACTGCTGACTAGAAAAAGGGCAACTGTTAGGCAGCACCTGATGACAACCTTTTTTTTCTCTTTGAACAACTGAATAGAGGAGGGCAACAGACTGAGTACCTGCCATCAACTTTTTTTCTTTTGATTGTAAGCATCATGGTTTTGGAAACACTATACTAATCAAATATAATCAATTAATGGGGTCATTGATTAATTTATTAGCAAATACTACTAACTGCCCAACTCAATATAAAAGTGTTTCAAAAATGAAAACTTAACAACATAGCCTCAATGGACAAACAGGTCTTTAGTTGTCCTTAAATGATTAGTTTATAACAAAGCAAAAATAACTAGAACTTTTGTCAAAAAACAAATGTTTTTCTAGATTTCCAAAACTATAGTCTTAATATTCAAACTTCTTTTTCCAACCTTTTCATTTAACCACTCAAAAATATATTATTGCAGTATTAACGAAAACAAATTTGCACACGGTAAGCTTAATAAGGCCTCATCAGAGTTTTTTAGAAGGCTACAATAATCTTCTTGTTCTTAGTTAAGCCTCATTTGGGATACTTTGTAGAATTTTGGTATCCTTATCTATAAAAGGATATTGACTAACTGGAAAGGGTTAAAAAAGGGTTACTCTGATGGTTTTGGAGATGAAAGAGATATCTTTTAGGGATAAATTAAGATCTCTAACTTATTTTATATTGAGAAAAAATGGGTATGAAGTAATCCTATTGGAAGTTTACAAGATTATTTGGGGATTGATAAACTAAAGATCTGTGCTTTCTTGGTGCCATATTCTGAGGATAAGAGACAAAAAGACACAATTTTAATACTTGAAAAAGAAATGCTAGACTCTAACAAAGTGACAGGCTCATGGATGACAGCTTGGAAGGACTTAATGGTCTCTTGTTGTCTATATATGAAGTTAAAAATTCCTGTAAATATAACTAAGAACCCTGTATAATCTCTTTTCATCATAGATGTCTTCAGAGGCCTTTAGGATATTATCAACAATTCATTTTAATTTCATATTGAAAAATCAATACCAAATGTACAAATGTTCAGAGGAAGGATACTAAGGTAATAACTGGAATGGAAAGGTTGTAATACATGGACAGGTTAAGTTCTCTGAATTCATTTTCAAAAAAGATGAATTAGAGGGGATCTGATTGAGGTGTTTAAAGTTGTTAAGGGAATTGATATAGCTAATGCATCATCTTTTTTTTTATACTTATTAGAGAGAATGGTAAAATTAGAAGACACAAATATAAATTTTGGTAGGATAGGAGTCATCTTCAGCTAAGACAGATTTATTTCTTTAACAGAGTAGTTCTCTTTTGGAATAGGTTGCCTTCAGATCTGGAAGAAGCAGTAAATTTAAGGGAGTTTAGGAAAAGACTTGGTAAATATTTAAATGATATGTGTTGTCTTTGAGTGTGTGTGTGTTTTTGTAAATTCAGTTTACTTTACTGTTCAGTGGATAGGATAGCCTAGATGAAACAACAAATCTCTTGTTGTTCTTAAATTTTATGTTAAGTAACAGAATGCTAGTTGTTTTTATTTTTTAATTTCACATCTAATGCGATCTTTATATTTTGTTAACAAATGTTAAATGTCCATTTTTGTGAAGATTTAATTGTATAATGTGACCTATATTTTCTTGCAATTTTGCATTTTTATTAACATTATCTCTTTAACAGGAGTGCCAATTTTTAAGAATCTGTTTGAGTGAGACTTTTGAAAAAGTAAAATTATAGTTTGTGGTAAAGTGCTGAAGATTGTGGCCTTCTAAAGGGAGTTTAATGAATCAAAAGTATGTATTTCCTGGTTCAATGTGATGCTGAATTTGACCTGGATCCAGCCAGTCAGCCAATCACAATACATTGTAAGAAACTGCTAATTTGAACAAAACATGATATTTGTTTACTACTAATAATAATATGTGTGAGTATGAGAAAAGGTCTAGAACACAAGTCTGAGGCTCAATTGTGTGTGTGTTGGCAGCTCTGCTTTAACCACCCTGAATCATTTCAAGAAACCTCTCTCCTTCACTATTTGATTTAATTTTCACATAAACTAAACCCAATCCATGAGTCTAAAAAGTAAAATTAGTCTCTGTTAATTATTGCACCTTTATGCCTATTACTCACAACACTGATGTTATCCAAGACATTTTTAATGACATCAGGGGACTTCTTACAACTGCCACTTAAAATATTTCTTGAAACCCCCGTCTCTAACCCATAAAGATTAAACCCATGCACTATTGAATTTGAATATAAGAGTTCAGTCCCAACAAGCTGCAGTTCATCCCTTTATACTTAATAATAAAATTATATATAATTATAAAAAACCACTCACCCCTCTTTTAGAAAGTATAACACTATTAAATAAAATCACATGCAAATAACATATTACTTATTAGTAAAATGAAATGTAAGAACAAAAGATATTCAATATTATTATTGAAAATTCCATTACTTAAAAAATTCCATTACTTACAGCATAGACCTATTGCAGCACTAGCAGTCTTGTTATTTTATTTAATTTTTTTGTTTGTTTGTTTTACAAAATAAACAGCGCTCTCTATGGTAGTTAGTAAAACAGTATTTCATTTGCTTCAAAGAAATGTTAGTTCGGTTGTTTGTTAATAAGCGCAAAATTACAAAATCGAACTCCGAATTTTAGCGTTATAAACATTCTGACCTGCTGCTGAGCAGCTTCAAGGAACAAATTACGCTGTTATGATTGATTATTTGTAATACGATTCATTTGTTTGAGCACAATGTTTAAATTCGGTGTCCGAATTTTAGCGTTATAAGTCCTCAAGTTTACTTTGAGCTACAGGGAGCCTTGTATTAAGCTATCCTAAAGTTGTTAGTTTGCTGTTTTGCGTCCATGTTTATTGATATTCTTTTTTCAAAATTCATCTAAACACTTTCAATTTGAGAGAAATGACCTTAAAATTTATAAAATACAATGATATCATATAAATAACTAACACAAAAATTTCGAACTTCTATGCTGAACGATGAGTACACGGACAGAGATAACAGTTTCAGAGGGGAAGGATAGTTGGATGTCATGTGAGGAAAATATCTGTACGTGCTATTGCGCAACAATTAAATATTCTCAAGTCGACAATTGGCAACGTGCTCAAAAAATGGAAGTCCACTGGTGACAATGAGCCCCAAAAAACGCCCAGTTAGGCATAATATACTGACTGACAGGAGCCAAGGCGCCTTGAGAAGGCTGGTTACCTCAACTCGCCGTCAGACATGAGAATATGTGTTTGGAGATGCGAGCAGCCACAGACAATCCTATAAGTGTTTCCACGACACGTCGAGAGCTGCATGCCATGAATTTTCACGGAAGAGTTACAGCCCACAAGCCGTTGATAACAAAAACAAATGCACACATTTGATTGGCATGGGGCAAAGCACACAGAACCTGGACCATGGATCAATGGAGATTGATCCTGTGGAGCGACGAGTGACGCTACACGCTCTTCCAGTCTGATGGACATACTTGGGTATGGAGGATGTCTGGAGAATGCTTATTACCTGACTGTGTTGTCCCAACAGTGAAGTGTGGTGGTGGGTGGCGGTATCATGGTCTGGGGGTGCTTCTCGTTGTATGGACTAGGTCCACTGATCACAGTGCATGGATCTATGAATGCTGAGTCCTACATTGATGTTCTGAACAATTTTATGTGTCCTACATTGTGACAATTTTATGTTACTGGCCCTTACATGATAAAGCTCCATGTCACAAAGCAAGGATTGTGAACGCGTGGTTTGAAAAAGAATAACATCAGAACATTGCAGTGGTCGACACAGAGCCTTGACCTTAACCCAATAGAACATCTTTGGGATGAACTGGAATGCAGAATTAGGGTCAGGCCAAGACGGCCCTCTTCAGTAGTAGAGTTTACTAATGCTTTAAGAGGAGTGGAGCATGATACCACCAGCTTTCTACTAGAAATTAGTAGACAGTCTTCTATGACACATTGAAGCAGTCATTAAGGCCAAAGGCAGGCCAATCTGCTTTTAATTTCTTGGAATAAAGACATATCTTATTCATAACTACCTGTGCTCCATGAAGTTTGGTAGGATAGTGTATATATACATTATACTATAGCCATTATTCATTTTCCTATCAATTCGAAAGAAATGTTTGTTGTTGTTGTTGTTGTTTCAATTAACTTACACTATGCATCAAAAATGTTATGCGAATTAACGAAGTTCATGGCACATTTAGATTATTTTAAACCAATTTTCAATCCCTACTTTGGATTTACAACAAGAGTAGGGATTGAAAATCGTATTAATCTATCCAACTAGTATCACTTTACTTGTTTATATACCTTTTATTGCAGCATTTATTTTGTTTTGGATACTTTTTATAGCAATTATATGAGTAACCAATAATCTCTACTTTCTGTTAAAATTTTAATTTATTTTCCTATTTATTTGTTCAGTTTTTATATGTCCATGGAATAGACATGACATCTTTAAACTTTCAGTATAGCCATATCCCTGAAAGCTATAACTTTTACAAAAATTAAAACCACATATTTATAAAATGTAATCCTTTGTTGGTCTACAGATAAGTGTATAAAGCTGCCAAAGTAGAGATTAAATTTTATAAATTTGTGATTGTGGTTTTAATAATTGTATTCAATTTTTGTAGCAGGACCCCTTCTTCATTTTAAAATTCACAGTTTTTTAATATTTTTGTTTATTTACTTTTTATGTTATACCTCTATAAAGTATATACTTTACCTTTAGAACCTGTCGCGTGTCTATCCATCGATATGTAGCGCCATCTTTTGGGTTGAAAAGATATTTAAGTACGTGCACGATATGTTTACCATTTATAAAAAAATCTGTATATGTTTATCGGAATATCAAAAGACGATACCCACAGACCAGTCAGGTAAACTGAATAAATTTTGTAGCAATAGTCCAAGCCATCTAGGGGCTAGACCCGATGACGTGATCAGGTAAGTAGGTAGTAGAGAAAAAAGTTGCTGTTTTAGAAATTTTTGAATTGTTATACTGAAATTTTAGCGACTTTTCTAGCATATTATTAGTATATATGCACATAATATAACATAACCAATACTTTGAATGGTCGGTTTTTCACTTAGAAATTAAATAGGGTGGTTTCTCGGCACGTGAATTATTTGGAAACCTTGTTGATCCCTACTCTAACTCTAATTCTGGATGCTTTGATACAAGCCTCTCCTCGCAATTCACATTGGCTAGCTGTCAAGGTCAAACACACCTTTCTTCTAGAAATTATCAGAATTTTCCAGGTGTTTAATGAAATAATAGTAAATCCTAACGATTTTTATTCCATTGTTAACGTCATTCTGTAAAAAAGGAAAAAAATAACGTCTGTAAAAAAGACAAAATACTTAAAATACTTCAGAGGGGGATTTTTTGCAAAAGGAGAAATTCCCCCTGTACACCTTTGAATTCAAAACTGTTTTTATCCCTGTACTTATAACAAATAATATAACAATATTTTGTATGTTATTACAGATAGTTGACTTTAACGAATAACCCGACATTTTTTACTTCAATTCTATTATTTCATTTTTAGCGAGCTAATTTAAAAGATTTGTATTTTAGAATACAAAATAAGTAAATAAAAAACAACGCAACAGACTACATTTTCCCTCTTAATAGATGGAATTTCGTTATTAAGAAGACAGTAAACAAATAATTTTGGAATTTGATAGGTAGATTGTCAGGTCACACCTGTTAGGGTTATGCCAGGTTTTGTTTTTATGCTTGTAGTTAAGCATAAAGCTACACAATGGGCTACCTGTGCTATGTCCATCATGGGTATTGAAACCCGGTTTCTAGCATTGAAAGTCCGCAAACATACCACTATTCCACTGGGGGGCACCTGGTTTTGAGCAAGGTGATGTAACCTGTGAAAGGCCAATTGTTAGAACAATATAGAATTTCACTCAGTCTATGTCCAACTCCTTTCGTTATACGCAGAACTGATACAAAATATCTTGTAGATATTTTGTGAGATTCCATTCGATAGTTTGGAAAGTGAGGATTGCAACTCCCTTTTGGCGTTCATATTCTGCAACCATCCCAATTGTTGATACCTAAATACACTTTCCTAACTGCTGATCAATTTTAATCCCAGCCATTCGGACTTGGAAGTCTATGTTGTTGTTGTGGTCGATCTCCTGCACAGCTGAACTGTTTATTTTAAAATCAGCTCATCTTTATCTGGCTTGCCATGAGCTGCCAATTGGCGTTTACAATGTATTTCACTTTCTCAATTATGCCGAGACGTGTGACACTGTGTAGCCCATTGATTTTTGGACAATGATAAGTCAGAATTGAATAATTTCACCATAGAACTGCTGCATGCTTGTTCCACATGTAAAGTTGGCTTACCCTTTTTGAAACAGGTCCATCCCTAAAATACCAGTGCTTGATTCCAGGTCAGAGACAATTACCCTATTTTGTGTGTCACAGCACTGATGGCGAGAGAGAGAAATGCCTCTTCATTAAATCATTATAGCAAATGTCATTGGATTCTTCCTTTTTGGCAAATTGGTTAGTGTAACAAATTTGAATATTTCCATCACTATAGCTCTGCATGGCCAGGTGGTTAGGGTGCTCGATTCGCAATCTGCGGGTTCGAAAACCCGTCACACCAAACATGCTCGCCCTTTCAGTCGTGAGGGGCATTATAATGTGATGGTCAATCCCACTATTCGTTGGTAAAAGAGTAGCCCAAGAATTGGCGGTGGGTGGTGATGACTAGCTGCCTTCCCTCTAGTCTTACACTGCTAAATTAGGATGGCTAGCGCAGATAGCCCTCGTGTAGCTTTGCGCGAAATTCAAAACAAACAAACCATCACTATACTGTTTTTTTTTGGATAACAAAATATATGTTACACTCCAGCCACTGGTTTGCCAGGAGCCCCCTCTGTGAACGTTATGATAAAGGGATTTATCTTCTCAAGATGAAGCAACAGACTGAGACCATCTAGCTGAAGAACAAGCAGTATTCAGAGCACAGATAAGTACTATAGAGCAAATCTTTAATATAAGAGTCATGTGTGAAAAATACCGTGACCATCAGGAAAGAGTTACACCATAATTTTATTGACTTCAAAAAAGCTTTTGACCGAGTATGCAAAAAAGCATATCGATAGTAATGAACAAGCACAGCACAAGTCAAAACATAATTAGGACTATTGAAGCATTGTATAGTAATGCTATTAGCGAAGGCTTAATGAAAAATAACATTCGGGAATGGTTTAAAACAACTGTTGGAGCACATCAGGAATGCCTCCAATCTCCGTATCTATTCAACATATTCCTTGAACAAACTACGACATATATCTTAGAAAACTTTAGTGTTTCAGTACATTGATAAAAGATATAACTTCAGGTTTGCAGAGATACAGATCTAATTGCAGTATCATAAAATGAATTAACAGACATTAAACAAGGCTGCACAAGACAGCAAAATATACAACATTGAGATAAGCGTGTAAAAAAAGCAAAGTGATTATCACTTCTAGCATTAGCAACACTGCATGATATCAAAATTGGAGAAGAGAATCTAGAAAGAGTCAACAATTTTAAGTATTTTGGACTAAACATTAATTACAAAAGACACAACATAAGAAGAATGACATTATTGTTATATTGTATCTGATGCGATTTTTTTCTCAGCCTAGAACATAACAATTTTTGAAACAGATGTAAGATTCACAGAGCCCTCCAATAAAGACAACACACAATAGCTTGTTTCTGTCTTAGATTGCTGTTTGTCTGAAATATAGGCTGTTTCACTGTGTTTACCTTATGTTCTATATTTTCTTCAAACTCATTCGAGGTCGGACAATTCAGATTTTCATTTCACAAACCATTTTTTGGCGAGCATATTGTTCTTCTTTTGTGTCTACCCAGTTATTCTAATAGAAATCAGTGAACCTGTGAATGCCACATCTTCACACTTGGAGCCTCTGAAGTGTCCCTTGGTGTTAAATAGGTTTGTTTGTTTTTAATTAAGCACAAAGCTACACAATGGGCTATCTGTGCTCTGCCCACTACGGGTATCGAAACCCCAATTCTAGCGTTGTGTTAAATAGGACTTACATCTATGTTATCAACAGTTTTTCAGTCTTTGGTCGACTTTTGTGAAAAACATACAGAACAGGCCACACGCGAACTCCGTAAGTTGACATTTAAAAGAATAGAACTTGAACAGCTAAGTTACCCCAGAACTGTATACTAAAATCGGAAGCTCTAGTACCATTTCTGATAGGGCATCATAGAGACCGAAAGAGTTACCACGTGACTGCCCCATTAAAGTGATTCTTAAGACAAGCTAGACAACCAGACTTGTGTTGTATGAGCTGCTTCGGTTGGCGATGTCCTACTGTGCTGTAAACAGTATACAGGATCTAAGATAGGGATTAGCTCATTCCACATTGGACACATCCTGTTTACGTAGCACGTCTAGCTAAGTACAGCTAACCTGTGCAGTAGTTATTTTTTTCTAAATATTCCTGAATAACAATGTATTATTTTTCTATTTAACATAAGAATTGTAGCCATAATATGTGAATAAAGTACTGCTCCAAATTGTTAACAATTATCGAAAAAAAAGGTTTGTTTGCCTGTTGAATTTCGCGCAAAGCTACTAAAGGGCTACCTGCGCTAGCCGTCACTAATTTAAAAGTGATAGACTAGAGAGAAGGATACGAACTCCCGACCTATAGATTGCGAGTCGAACGCATGCTTTGCACTAAGAATAACAAACAATTTATACCAAAAAGGCAAGTAATTTGTTTCAAGTTTTCATGGTTTGATCAGCCCCCAGTGGCACAGAGGTATGTATGCGGACTTACAACGCTAGAAACCGTGTTTTGATACCCGTGGTGGGCAGAGCACAGATAGCCCATTGTGTAGCTTTGTGCTTAACTCCAAAACAACAACAATCGTTTGATCAAAGAGAAAGCCAGAGAAAAGTATTTGCTGAAAGGAAATGAACATTGTTTTTTATTTGTTTGCTTTAAGGTCATATGACATTTATTTGAGTTATAATCTCAGGAATAGACTATAAGTGATGATTCTGGAAAATTAATTTGTTGAAGTCCAGTGTCATGCTGGTTTTTACCATGTTAATTATTGTATCAAGAATAAATGCTTTAAGATATGTCGTATGTAGTGTTATCAATACTACACGCATTAACATGGACAGAATAATTGCTATGATTTTTTCCTCACAAATTGAGTGAGCTTCAGTGAGTAACTGTTAATAACCCCCATTTATGGGGGGGGGGGTTGAACTATTTTTCTTTTCAGGAAAATTTAGAGGGACTCTTTTCTAAACACACACAAAAAATATCAAGATTTCCTTGGCCCACTTTCCATGAGATACAATGAAAGCTCCTTTATGGTGCTCCACATTTTAGCTTAATTCGAAAATGGATTTTCCGTTACGTCGTCTTTATAGAAACACTTAGGAAAGAAACGAAACCACCTCAGAGGGATCGGAAGCAGAAACAAAAATGCTGTTTGTATGTAACATTAAGTTTTTTCAAAGCAATACATTATATATATTGGATATAACTTTCATATAATTACAAACACCTTGTTCGAGAATAGTTGATATATTTCATTATTTATGTTTTTAAAATAAGCAAAGTAGATTTAAGTTTATAGCGAGGTAAATGATTTATTATACTGTCATCCAGTAGTGTGGCGAGTTTTTCCCTAGTAGATATTGTTACATGGTCTTCAACAGATCTTACAAATTCCTCTAAATTTTGCTTGAACTTTATTTGTTATAATTATGGTCAACAGATGGCGTAACAAATATCCGTTGATAAGTGCACTTATCACTTCCGGGAGACCGTTGTTTGTGCAAGAAGCATGGGCTTGGTGGTATCATTTGAAGTGTTACTTTAAATATTTAATTTTAACTCAGTTGACAAAAGTAAATAGAGACCAAGACATATAAAAATTCTCCTGCTGAGATTCAAGTTTATTTATTTGCAAAAGGTGACGAAGTTGTTGAAAAGTGGTGTTTTTTTTTGTTATTGTTTTTTTTTTTTACCGCTAGTCAAACAAGAGGCTTGCGGTTAAACTTTAGCACGGAAGTGTGTGTACCTGCTTAGGTACGTGAATTTCGGAAGTGTCACTAGGGGTCTTCAGGAAAAATCACTTTGGAAAAGAAAAACGTCAACAAACTTTGCCAAGTTAATTAAACAGTACTGTCACGGTGTTGGATTTGGTTAAGCACCATTAATGCACTTATTTTCGATTCAAGTACTTGAAAGTTGAACTACCTGAAGAGGTTTCTAAATTCTGTGAAATTTTACTTCGGTTTGCTAATTTGTGTGTCATTACAAGTTATAGCCAACGCTAGTCTACAACTTGTATATTAGTAGTTCAACGAAATATAGGAGTAATCATGGAAGAGTTGGGTAAGTGTGGATACTTGTGTTATATTGTTTAACTTAACACTAATTCCTGTTCATAAGTGTACTGGTTACAAGTGCTCGGCGATTGTTTGGTATGTAAATATGTAAAAAAAGTGCAACTTCAAGGTATAAAGTAAACCTATACATTTATTCTTTTGTGCCCTGTGTATTCTTCTTGTATACTAATTGATAGAAAACTTGCGGACTTTAGTATTCAGCAACGGCTGTTACTATAAGTTTTTCTTTGAATTTTGAAATAAGAATACTGCCTGGGTTGTTATTTAATATTAATATTTTACAGTAACTTTCAAAGCTTTTCCTGAGTTAGAATGGCTATCTTGATCAATAGAAATAATGTTTAGGGAGTGCAACAAGTAACTGTGGGTTGGTTTTATTTATACTGTTAAACTTAAAATCCGAGTCCAAAAATACAACGGAAGATGCATAACTTGCCTTTTTTTTCTCTTTTTACTGACAATATTTTGGGCAAACGTGCATTAAGTTAACATTTTTGATAAAGTTGGGTTTTGCATCGAAAGGTCTCCGAATAACATCGATTTTATGATACATATTTATCTGTTATTTTGTTGGTTACATATTTGCCTATTCAGCTCTCTTATTGTAACTTGATGCCAACAGTACAAGTGCTTAGAATGAAATCTGCCTTATTTCCAAATCACTGTAGACTGTGCAGTTTAACCAAAAAACGGGTACAACAAATTTCACGTTTTTATTCTATATTGATATAGAAGAAAACATAAACAATTATTTTGATACATTTAAAAAATAAATATCTGAATTTAAAATGCCATTCGCATATGTTATGGCGGAAGAAACTACGAATAATTTTTTTTTTTCTGAAGCTTGTGTACATAATCTTATGCTTTTTTTCAGCCCCATGAAGTATATAATGTAGTTATATATATACGTATCTACTTGATACAAAAGCAACGTGTATTAAACTCCCACTTTCCCACCCAACTTGGGACGTTTTTATGGCAAATAAATGCACTGGCTTCACCATCATTGATCTTGGTTTTTTACAACACAGGAATTCCCAGAGAAATCGAGATGATTAACCTACATTCTTGTTGTTTTAGGATTTAAGTGGTTCGGTATCTGAACTGCTGTTTTTCGTTGTTTATCATTATATTCATATACTACGACTACGTTTAAACCATAATAGATTGTTTTTTGCTTTTATTTTTTTACTCATTTAGGCATTTCGCGTTTTACTAAGTAACAGTCATGACACAATTGAATCGTACATTTCACACAATAATACGACGTTCGTCCGTAATGAATTTCGTCATTTATCATTTTTGGGAAAGGTGCTTATTATTGTGAAGTAATTCTCATATAAAGGGATTGTTAGTCTGTTCGTCCTTTTTAAGGTACCTTTGGTTTCCTCTGCAAAACATATTTTTTTTTATCATTAGCTCTTAAAGGTACTCACCCACACTCTACGGCTCTCAAACAATCTATAATTTATAAATTGACGGAGGCTAACTCTTAAAACACGAATTCGGTAGTGATAATGAATAAGGGATAGAATTCCTTTGCTAACTCACACTTTACGTCTGGTGAAAAGTCAGATTTTGAACGCAATTAAAAATTAATGCTCAAGCTATTTGTGTCATGATATATTTTTTATACCTACACTTTTATATATATATATATATATATATATATATATAATAAATTAATTAGCTTTAAAACGACGTACAGGTCATCACTTTCCTGTTACTGCTAGTAGTAATTTTATTGGTCTCCAAAAGTATTATTCTCCGAGGATATGTTGTGGAAAATCCACAAAGTTAGGTACAATCCCTGTGTGTTCTTTCAGCAGTGAAATATATACCAGGCAGAGAAGTAGACAAATGGGATATTGTTAGCCAGTCCCAACCAGCAGACTACTTTTCAGCAAAATTAGAAAACACCAGGCAGAGAAGTAGACAAACGGGGTATTGTTAGCCAGTCCCAACCAGCAGACTACTTTCAGGAAAATTAGAAAACACCAGGCAGAGAAGTAGACAAACAGGGTATTGTTAGCCAGTCCCAACCAGCAGACTACTTTTCAGCAAAATTAGAAAACACCAGGTAGAGAAGTAGACAAACGGGGTATTGTTAGCCAGTTCCAACCAGCAGACTACTTTTCAGCAAAATTAGAAAACACCAGGTATAGAAGTAGACAAACGGGGTATTGTTAGCCAGTCCCAACCAGCAGAGTACTTTCAGCAAAATTAGAAAACAATATTTTATTGTCTTAATATTTATTTTTAAATTCAAATGTTTTTTTTTAACTTAAAGGGCATCATGTTACATGTGTCATATTTTTTTTTAAAATTTACATAGTGTATATAATGGTTGAAATTTGTAAATTACACTAATTGTTGCTTTAATTGTGAGCACATGCCCTTTCAACTTCAGTGTTGCATGGCTATTAAAAACAACATTAAGAAAATATTAACACCCGTGGTTATTCGATCGCGAAACACTTTTCCCAACTTGAATTCAAAGTCTTCATTTCATATTTGGTTTCAGTTCTCTTTTAGCTGCCGATCAAAACACGTTGATTATTTCCTAAAAAGAAACAAAAACGACAATTCGTTTCTCTAATATTTGTACTTTAACAAGTTCTGCCAGATTTTAAAGGAGTGATCATAGTTTACGATTTCTACTTTCTGTTATCTAATCATGACCTGAGATTATTAGTTACAGTGTTTTGTGGAACACGCTTGCGCACACCTTGTCGAATTTATTCTGGAACTTTATTTTTTCTGAATTCGAAATTTTAAATTTTTCATTTACAGAATGATAATGTGATGAAATAAGACATGTCTTGTTATTAAATTTATATCTTAAAAGTAAGACTTTAGTTAAGTTTTGATTCAATTATCACTTTGCTGGAGAATATTTTAGGGAATTGTAACGTCTATATTAAAAAAAAAGGCTGTAGTGCGTGGTAATTAAAAATAATTCCTTTCTGTACAATATTACAATAAATAAAAACTGGTGCAACTATTAAAGTGTTTACTTGCTTTTAGTGCCCCTTTTTAGTAATTTTCGTTTTTACTGATAATTCATTAAAAATTTAACCAGTCTGTATCCCTAGATGCCAGTTGTCTTCCACAACAACGATAGTGTAAGTTGTTTTATCCATATACGTATAAACAAAGCGGATTTGAGTTATAGATTGGATTATGTTTTGTCGTGTCTGCTGTGACGATTTATTAGCGGTTTCGAGTGCGTATGTTATTTTCAGAGTTTTCATCGTGTGTTTTTTTTTACAAATTTTATGACTTGCAGTTAACGTTTGAAGGTTAGGAATGTTTGCTTTTCATTTAATGTGTCACGAGGTTTAAGAGTACATCAAAAGTTAAGTTCAAGATCATTTAGTTTTAATGGAAATGCTTGGATACAAAATAAGTACAATGCATTTCTGAATTTCTGTTGTTTTTTTTATGAATTTTTATTTTACTTTATTTTTACTTCAAGATGTTTAAAAAAGATAAAGAATTTCAAAACGTATTGCTTAAACTACTCAGTGTTCAAAGACATTCAGGTAAATGTTTTTACAAAGTTGCTTTATGCGTTAGAAAGACATACACGTAAGATCTTCTTACAGCTACAGCCTAGAAAAACTGGTCTTGTAGAAGGCCGTTCAAGAACTAAAACATTTAACACTTGGTCTTTCTTGGCACGAGTCTACCGTAAGTAAGACTTGTTGATGATTAAAAATTAAAGCAACATATGAAGCAAGCTTCAATCTGTTTAATCTGTGTGCACTTTTGAAGTTTTCGATATATCATGACTGTAGGCAGGTTAAGTGAGCCATTTGTAAAGTTCCTAATCTAAAACAGCTATGGACGAGAGTCCGAAATTAATGGTGATCCACAATCACTATATACGTATACAACTTGAATTAAGACTTTATGTTTTCATTAAATAAAAGTGTAACGAACTGTGCTACCATAAGAAGTGCAGAGTGTAAAGTATCAATGTAAAAACTGTGCTACCATAAGAAGTGCAGAGTGTAAAGTATCAATGTAAGAACTGTGCTACCATAAGGTGTACAGAGTGTAAAGTATCAATGTAAGAACTGTGCTACCGTAAGGGGTACATATTGTAAAGCATTAATGTAAAAACTGTGCTACCATAAGAGGTACATATTGTAAAGCATTAATGTAAAAACTGTGCTATCATAAGAGGTACATATTGTAAAGTATCAATGTAAAAACTGTGCTATCATAAGAGGTACATATTGTAAGGTACACAGTTCTTACATTAATTACCATAAGGGCTACAAATAGTAAAGTATTAATGTAAGAACTGTGCTACCATAAGGGCTACAGATTGTAAAGTATTAGTGTGATAAAATGGGAACATTTAACATTCAATTGATGTGTTAAAAGCATCATTTTTATTATATTAAACCAGAATCACAATGCTGGGAACTATTATGGTAAAATTATATTCCATGTATTACACCTATATAATCTACTCTAAAATATGCGTTATATGCCGAATCACGCTTTGCTAATAGCAGATTTGTATAAATGTTTCAGCTATGTAAGTAGAAGGAAGTATTATTCATAATAAATAAACATTAGGCAGTAGTAATAATAACAACAATAAATTACTTCCTGCGCTTTTACGAAATTCCGATAAATGTATTAAATGTATTTTACTCTGAAGATGGACAAAAAGCATCTAATTTCTTTAAAATAGTTAGTAATAAGTAGAACCAATTCATAGAGTACCACTACATTTTATCCCACTACTACAGGTGTTCAGCCTTCATGCTTGGCATGTTGAATAAAGATATGTTTGGTCATTACAGATTGCATGCCACTAGCGGATGACTTGATTTATTATTAGACTTTACACTGGGTTAGTGGATGAACCTATATTTGTTCCAATTGAACATATATGAGTAAATCCATTCATGCAGAAGCTTACAATTGACTGGGGGGTTCATATTGTTATTATTATTAATGTGG